CTCTCTCTCTCTCTCTCTCTCTCTCTCTCTCTCTCTCTCTCTCTCTCTCTCTCTCTCTCTCTCTCTCTCTCTCTCTCTCTCTCTCTCCTACTTGGATCGCTCACTCGCAGTCTCTGAATGCATTCAGTGCTCAAACCTATTGGCTGTGGTGTCTTCCTCCCCCTTTGCTAGTCCTAGCTATTGTGCTATATGCCGGCCACACCACCAATATGCCCGGTTGGTCTCATTGAATCATTGCACAAATTTACAACAGCACTTCCGCAGCATGTGAATTGACAAGTGACCTGTCCAGGGTACTGTAGCTACTTAAGTAGCACAGCTCAATTGACAAGTGACCTTGTCAGCTCCAGACAGGTAAAGGTCTCCCAGGGCCTGTCGGCTGCATGTTTGCCAGTTCTGGAGCTCACTGGGCTTTCGAAGGATGCTCCTGCTAAAATTAGACTGCGACGTGGACTTTTCTTGTCGGGTACCGGGCCTACCGGACTTCGAAGGACCTAGACCTCTACCGATCTACAGGGTCTGAATCAGCATGTTGGTCGCTGGGGCTGCTGGTTCGGCTAAGTGTACATGGGACTCTGACCATTGGGACTTCGGGACTGGGACACGAGACTTGACTGAGGCATGAAATTCTTCCACTGCCGCCGGCCTGATTCCAAGGTCCTCCCAGAAAAGATGACATCTTCGTCACCCGTCTGCGACATGGATGCCTCTCCCAGCCCTCCCATAGTATGATATGATGTTCGGTACTGTCTTGCCCAGCTCGTTCTTATAGTGTACAATCTATCGTCCTGTAGTTACAGGTACTGGAACGAGACCTTATATTGCTGCTGCTGTCTTCCCCTCCTACCATACCTATAGACATCTTGTCTACAATGCCAATGCGGTCGATGTCAGAACGACCATTCATATCTGGGGAAGTCGTTGACCTTATGTGATGGGAGTGCATCGCTCGTTGGGCAAGGTAGCAACTACGAAGGAATGAAATACAAGATACATATGCAGATGAGGCGGTATGTCAACAACGTAGGATGGACCATCTGGATCAACAATCGCATCCATAATCTCCAACGGGCCCTCTGGACGCAGGTAGCAGTTTCTGAGAAATCCCTTCTTCCGGCAGAAACTCTTTAGACTTGAGACCCAGACAAAGCCTTCAACAGAGAACTTAGAGAGTCTACGATGTTTATTAGCTTGTTCTACCATTTGATGTCGCGCTCGTCTGATATTTTCTGCAACTTTTTCTAGGGATTTCTCATAGTTCAGCGCAAACTTTCCAGTTCTTGAATCAATAGGTACAATAACTTTAGGTAACCGCTAAATCTGATCAGGGTTCAGGCAGTCAATCGGTCTCCTAGGCTTCCAAGTTCCAACCCTTGTGTAGTTCATGCAGGGTACGCCCTTTCGACAAATGTACAAAGTTATTGTACACACTGGCTACATTCGGTGGGTGTTCATCCCAAAAATATATCTGATCCGGCCTAATGAACATGCACAGAGTCTGTTGCAATAGTTTGGCGTCACGCTGCTGGAGCGCTTGTTGGAAGCAGAGCGCTGGCGTAAGCAGCGCTGTGGGGAAGAGGAGCGCCCAGCTCTCCACCTTGGCTATGGTGGAGGAGCTCGGGTAGGAGGAGGAGGAAGAAGGGGACTACCAAGGAGAGGGGAGCGCCAGGGGTACTTATCTGACTATGGTAGACGGCATCTTCATCACCTTGGTGATCGCTGCATCAGGAAGGCCCTGTTGGGGTAGAGCTGCATCTAGAAGCTTCGAGGCAGAGGCAGGCATGGCGGCCTGAGAGGAAGAGGCCATAGCTGGTTTGTGTTGTCTTTTGCACGTCAGGGCAAGGCCCTTAGTAGTCCGCCATAGCCTCAACCTGGATGAAGAAGAGAGAGGAGGGCAGACATGGCTATGGTGGACCTCTTGTTGTGCTGGCAGTAGAAGAGGGATTCGGACATTGATTTTGGTTCAGCCATTCATCATCATCATCATTATTATTATTATTATTATTATTATTATTATTATTATTGTTTGAATAAGAAGAGAGGAGGAGACAAGGAGGAGGAGTTTGTTGGCGAGAAGAAGGGGGAATTATCATTGGTCTTTTGCTGGTGTTCTTCTTCTTCTTCTTCTTCTTCTTCTTCTTCTTTCCCTCTCTCTCCTCTCAAGTTCATTCATTTCTTTCGCAATTGGACGGCATTGTACTTCTCGTGAATTTTGCACTTCGAATTGGCCAGGATTGTAACAAGCAGCTCAATTGACATCTTAGTCGGCTCCAGATCAGTAATAGTCTCTCATGGCCTCTCGGCTGCACTTTTGCCAGTTCGAAAAGTCAACGTTCTTTCCCAAGATGCTGCTGCTAAAATTAGACTGGGACTTGGACTTCTCTTGTCGGGTACCGAGCCTAACAGACTTCTAACAACCTAGACCTCTCCCTACCTACAGAGCCTGAATTGGCATTTTGGCTGCTGGGCCTACCGGTTTGGCTGGTGTATATGGGACTGGGACCATTAGGACTCTAGGACTGGAACACAGGACTTGACTGAGGTGTGAAATCTTTTCAACTGCCCTAGACTTGGCGAAAAGCAGGGCTGTGCCGGCAACCGGCCCGTTGGACCGGGCCGGTTGGACCCCAGGTGGTCCAACTGGAATTCCGGGCCAAAAGTGGGTCAATTTTTTTTTATTTTTTTTTTTTGAAAGCTTGGTCGGACTGCACTCGCCGAGATCTCCCCGAATCCGCAAAGAAAACTATGAACAGAGAAGTTTCATTCTATGGACGTCCGGGGGGAAGGGGGGGTATTTCAGGAGTTACGGGTTGGGCGGCAAAAAAG